CGGGAAACGCCTCCTAGACGGATTAACATAATTTAATAATGCAGATATCAATCGAAAGCTCATGACCTGGAGGTGATATTTATTTGGTCAAAAGTCAAAGAAGTACATAGCGAACGTGGTTTCCACGGGTTCTTCTGCCTTTCAGCGCGTTGGAGGCCAGCACAGCTCGACTTTAAACTTGATCGATTGGAATCGTGGTCCGCACTCGACCCAGAACGCGATCGTCAACCAAATTGTGTTGCTCCAAGTTGTGAATCGTGCTGAACTGGCATGGCTGGCCCGAAGTCTCTAAGCTTGAGAACTCCGCGTTTCTGATGACATATTTGCCTCAAGAAGGGAGGGAGATATCCTCTGCAGATATCCGCAGAACCGCACTTTCGGGTGGAACGGTTCAGAATAAAAGGTTATTCTGTGTAAGAAGACAGGATGGCGAAGCGTGCCTATGGCATAGGAAACCGTGCAAGAGGGTTATTTCAGGATATCTGAAACTCACGAAAATTTCCATATACCCCCCCCCCCCCCAAAAAAAAAAAACCTCTTTCTTCGGGATGAGTTTTTAAATATTCATTCGCTGGTTCTTGAAATACAGGTGATTCAGAGCGTGCCTGCAGTAAGCGAGTGCGGCCAGAACTATACGGGCATCTGCGTCAACATTCTGAGTTGTATGATATCACGTACAGGATGGGTGAGATGAAAATGCGTACGACCAAGAAGAAAAGTGCATTTTTATTTTCTGATTCACACTCTGAAGAATTGCTCGAAGTGCTCGCCGTCATTTTCTGCACATGCACGTAACCTTGGGAGAAACTCGGATACTGTACCGTTTAAACTCTCCTATGATAGTAGCCTCCATGCCCCTCGAATGCGTGCTTTGACATGCTCCAGGTCCTTCATCAGTCGCCTGTAGGCTCTCTGCATCATGATTCCCAATATCATGTATTCAACTGGATATAGGTCAGGAGAGTTTGGAGGCCATTCATTTGGTCTGATGAAGTAAGGAACATTCTGTTCCAAGAAAGCAATGGTATGGCGCGACCGGTGACTCGGCGCCCCGTCTTGATGAAAGAGGTAAGGCCTGCTCGAAACTCTTTCAATGTCTGGAAGTAGGCCACCAGCAAAGTTATTATAGCTGACTTGATCTTCACTCCTGGCCCAAGGAAGTGGAGGTTAGTTTTTCCAGTCATGGATACGCCAACAGATTGGGAAAAGTGCAATCGTGGGGCTACGAGATGGTGTGGAGAAATGTCTCTCTTCTTGGGAGTTACGGAGTCCTCGTTGAAGATTCCAAGGCGCATAGACGGTGAACAGTTTTTCATCCGTGAACCATGTGTTGTAAGAATCGCAGGTGTAACGCGTCGAAAAAGACGCTTAGAACACCATTTCCTTTTCTCCTTTTGAGCTGCAGTTAATCGCCGCACCTTCATTCGGGTGAACGGTCAGTGTTTAAGATCCTACTTGATCACGTGGTGAACTGAGGATTTTGGAACCCCAACCCGTTGGGAAACTTCCCTAACTGAAAGATGCGAGACGGGTGGTTGATCTTCCTGGGTGGTAGAGAGTTCATTCAACTAATCAACGAAATCCTGATCTCTGACACTTCGGGATCTTCCACTCCCTCGACGCCGGGCAGTCTCACCAGTTTCGTTCAGCTTTTCAACAACATAGCTCATAGTGGACAACTTTAAATTGGCCTTGGAAACCCTTTCATGATTTGCTTTGAACTGTAGCCATGCTCCTACAAAGCCTTAATCAACACTTTATCAAGCCCGTCTTTATTTATCGTGGAGCATCCTGTGTGGTTGACTGACCAACTTCGAACCGGTTGGTCCACTTCTGGGCCGTACGGAGACCAACAGCTTGCTCGACACAAGCCTCCACTAGACCTTGGTGGATCTCCGAAGGCTTCTTTTGTAGCTGCGTCATGATCTTGATGTAGGCTCTTTTTTCTTCTGTAGTCACTTCAGCTATTGGAGCTGAGTTATCAAGTAATGCCCACTTTATAGTGCACTGTGGCGGCTATATGTCATGAGAATGGCCGGAAGATTGGATGGCAGGAGAGGACGAAAGAAAGCCAGGGGACGGCCGGGAATTGAACCCGGGCCTCCTGATTGCCGGTCAGGTGTGGTACCACTACACCACCGAACACCGGGACATTCATTCGTGCCTCTCAATACCATCCTTATCATTACATATATACATGCAAGATGAATGAAACAGCTCACGTTTTAACTTCTCAGTGAATATTATCAACAACTCTTCAAATAATTTTCTCTCATAGAGACAAAATTCTGGACAACAGGAACGAACTTTTGGTATGACTCTCGTATTCATGTGACAGTTTCGCTGAAGGGAGTGTGTATAGGAATAGCACTGACCTAGGCGTCCATCAGTGGATTGGGCATAGGAATACCAAAATCGCATTGCCACAGGGAATTTTTCCTACCCATTTCCCAACAAGAAATATATATTCAGAGGTTCTGATCTCACTCACGATCATCTACATTAGACTCATTTATATTCGTAAGTAGTCGTAAGTAGTTTGCCCTTTGGGCAAACACGCTATGGACGCACCTTCGGCGCTTTATGATCAACGAATATGACTAAGGCATTTAAAGAATCTGTTTTCGAAGCCCACCCCTAATGATGAGGTCAAACAAAATGTATTACATGCATTAACAAACGAAAAAAATGTATTACATAACTTGTTATTGTCGGCGTCATACGACTTCTAGCAAGAGGACCACCAGGTACAAATTCAGTGCGTCGTTTAATATTTCCATAATTATTAATAATTTAATTCCTGCCTATGATCGACACATTCTTCTTTGCTTTATATATATAAAAAAAACATATAATAGCAGACACAAGCTCATTACTTCGGCGATTTAACGCAATAATTATTTATAGACTACGTTGACTGTATGGGAAACTTTGTCATTATGTTCTAATATACAGTACATTTGTACTCAAGGACTCTAATAAAGTCTCTTTTTTTAATTTTCCTAATACAGCTGTCCATGAGAGTATACGTAATTCCGTAAATACAGCCGAGAGCTATTCATGTTCCCGTTTCGTTAAAGAATGTGTGTGCATAGAAATGTGATTGGGCCTAAGCGTCCGCAAGTGGATTGGGCATTGTCGCATTGAATCACAATGTCGGGGAAAGATATACTTACCGTTTTTCTGCCAGAAAAACACATGCTACCCATTCGCAATCCTATCTGCACCCACCAACCAGTTTCGTTCCACCTAGCCTATGACATAGAAAGGCATAGGCCAGAATGCCTCGCACCTCAGGCCAAGGCAGCAGAATTCTTCATGAGACGAGTCAATAACCTAGATGAGAACGGGTCATGATTGGCGCAGGCCTGAGCGTCTGTCCAAGGGTTAGATACAGGCTTGCTAAATCAGTCCCCTCGGGGCACATATCTTCAGAGTCGAACTTAATTCATAGTACGCAACTCACAAGCTGTTTGTTTTCCTTTGGACTTCCTCCAAAGAAGATAGTGTAAGCGAGTGATATTACCTTACGCGTCAAACCATGGGTTAGGCCTAGGCGTACGAAATCAAATCCCCCCTCATTCATTGACTAGTAATGAATGAAATAATGACAGGTTAATGGATCATTTATATTGCATTTCGTGAAGATAAAAAAGTTCAGACTTCAAGGTCATGAAATAACTTCGTTCACTGTCAAAACAAATAAAGGCAGCGCAGCACTTCAATTATAAAATCAACCACTTGTGTATTTCATGATACAAGCTCTCACACGCATGTCCCTATTGAGGGGTGCGAGAACTTTCCATTCCGTCCCGTCATCCATCTCAACCGAAGGAGGCTGCTGTCCTCCGACGGCGTAGAGATTCCCTTCCAACGAAAGCAGACTATGACCCACACGCTGTTTCTTCATGGTGGGTAGGAGCCGCCAGTCATTTTTCCTCTCATCATAGATGCAAACGTCTGAGAGAATCGGATAAACTAAATGTCCACCGCCAGCGACATAGATTTCACCTTCGTGGAAAGTGACACCTGGTTGGTCCCATCCCCCTTGCCATGGAGACAGCTCAGTCCACGTGTTCGTCCTCGTATCCAGTCGCACATGGTTATTCTCACGGGGTTCCCCTCCAATGATGTGTAGACTGGAATTCAGTAATGCCGCCGTGGCCAAAGAACGACCATACTTCATAGTCGGTAACTGTATCCATCTCCACAATTCCAGTTCAAACTTATTCACAGATTTCGAAGGCGATGAACCCCCGAGGCGGCTAGCCGAACATGAATTACCTCCACAAACGAAGATGGATTTCCGTCCAAAGATTGATGCTGACCACAGAACCCACTCGGGTAGCGGAGGTCCGGTTTCCCATTCTTTCCTCGTCAAATCGAACACTTTCAACTTTCCATGGTTCGTCAGAAACAACTTCCTATCCACTGCTGAGAAAGACTCCCAAAAGTACTTTGCATCTGGCCATACATAGGTCGTAAGGACCTGTACTGACCAGTCCCGAAGACTTAGAAACATAATCTTGGCTTCGTCTTCATATCTTCCTACGCACCAAAGAGTATGGTAATGTTCATAGACGTTGGTGCCCCTGACTCTGGTCTTTTCCACAGGGACCTTGTCTCTGAGTTGTGGAATGTGGAAATTCTTGGCCTCCATAAGGAGAGGTACGCAATCGGGATTCCCCAAACCCACCGGATCGCTACTGATACATTGCTCGAGATATTCTGGTGGAAATAGAGAAAATCTGACTTGGTTCAGCAGCTTGAGCATGTGCGATGATCTGGAGGAGTCGTGGTTTATCCACTTCTTCACAGCTTGGTAGATTTCTATTTCCGAAGAAACTTCAAGGTCATCTCTTTCCAGATACGTCTGCAATCTGTCAATGGACATGGAGAGGAATGCGGGGATCGATATGATTTCTTGGAACCTGCGAGAAATGAAGTTCATAGCTGCATTTCGCAACCCATTTATCTTGAGCCTCTCGGCTTCAGAGAGGATGAGTAAAGCATTCTCAGGCCTTAGGAAACTCTTCACTTTTTCGTCGTATTCCTGACAGAGGGGGTCGATCTGAAGACGATGAGAGTCCCCGAGGACAGCCAGAGCGACGTCTTCGTCCTCGGTCCCGTATCTATCGTTGTAGATGAAATCCCAGATCACCTGGAACCCTTCCTTCGAGACGTTTGGCAGAGGAACCAGCTTACTCCAAAATCCCGTCATCTTGATGAGGAACATATGTTTGAAGACGGGCGAAGCCGAGGCCAGGACGAAACGGCTTCCGTAGTATTTGGCGTCTTGAACCTCGATGATGACGTCACAAAGGACATTCTGCTCTCGGGAGTTCTTGGCGAAGCCTTGGGCAAGGAAGCGATATTGGGTCTCCGTTTTGGGGCACTTTCCGTCATGACGTTTCGTTTCAACCATGGCAGTTTAGGTCAGGATGCAATGGAAGAAAGGGGTAACTGCTGACGAACAGTTAATGCAGAAGAAGTTGGCAGAAAACCATTGATTTATGTTGAAGGAGTAATGTTCTCGGGAGAAAGTGTCCTCAGCATGGAAGTCAGGGTCCAACTAAAATCCGGGAAAACCGTTTGAGAGGTGCTGCAACAGAACAGAAGTAATGCCAGGTAAGATATGAATGTGGACGTATCACTTCACTTCATTCTTATCTTAAAGGTATATATCCTTTATATATAAAAGAGATATAAACCTTAAAGGTATATATCCTTTATATAAAGGATATATACCTTTTAAAGGTATATATCCTTATATCCTTACGGACGCTGCTAAATACAAATTTATCTGTGAAATTTACCTTCACCACAGCCTTAATGGAACTTCTATGAATGTCTTCAACAGAAAATGGTTTCTGCCAACCGAAGGTAGATGGCGTCTAACAGCCGATTCAGCAGTTCTCACACTGATGTACTTGGAATTGGTACCCTTTTTATTTCATACCTCACCTAATATTTCCCACGTAAAATTATGGGAAAGATTCGGCAATACCGTGATAGACTCGTTGAAAGTGAAAACTGGACAGTAGAAGAATCCAAGTACTTATGACCCGGCGCTCCGAGTAAACTTGCCGAAACTTCAGACTTCACTATATGGCTTCTGTACCGACTCTGGCTCGAACATCCTTTTTAGGCGAAGGAACATGCTGATGGGCCCACGCGGGCGTGTCAGGCACTTTCTCCGTATTTTCCTCTCTGGCTCGCACAGTCAACGTTGCGGCAAAGTTACTGCGGTCGAATGTCAATCCTTGCTAAACAATGACACATCGCTGTGGTGCCGAATGCTTTATTCCCTATTAAACTAAAAGCATTTTTCGTGAAAATAACCAAGAACCCGTGAACAAATTGCAGCTGTTTATAATAAAAAAAGGCATATTTACATGAATGGAGATGGAGATCACAGTTTTCGTTGCGAGACACAACGCTCACCACCACACTGTGCAGGTTCCTCTTCAGGTCTCCTTTCTTATCAGATTCCACTAAATACCGTCTCCCCCTATATTTCTTCTAGAACAGCTCATTCACCGGCCCCTGCCCATAACCCCGCCCTGTGCGACTGCTATCGATTCTCCGTGGAATTCCTGGTTTCATAGATTTCCCCTCGTCTAGTCCTTATGTATACAATTGAGTAATTGCCTTTTTTGATAAATGAACTTGGAAAACACGCGAGCGGAAGACAGATATCCTGATTCCTAGCTCTCCCTCCCTAGCAGGAGGGAGAGCTAGGAATCTAGGAATAGGAAGGCTTCTTCTCATACTTTTTTCTCTTTTCTTCTCAGTTTTCTCTTTCATGGAATCAGAAAGGATTCCGGAAAATGCGCCTTTTCCAGAAAATGTGCCCTCAGAGGATTTACCTGAAAATTAATATTTATTTTTATTTTATTTTTTTTTTATTACTGAAATCAGTACTCGGAGAATCACATACATACCAAGTTTCAGCCTTACTCGTTCGTTCTTTTTGCTGGTGCAAACTGAAAACGTCACCGAACAAAAGAATGCCCCCAAGGCATGCATACGAAACTTGACATTTTCCCTGAACGCAGAGTCTCAGTAGGTACGTCCATGTCATGTGTCAGCCTTCCAAGTTTGTCCGTTTGACATAAGCAAAAGAAATATTTAAAAACATCTCGCCCTGAAATTCGTGCCTGCAGGGCATTTACCTCCTAAGTCAGATTTTTTCTGAACTCTGCATTCTAAAAGTTACAAGTATACCAAGTTTCAGATTTCTACCTTATTTGGAACATGGTTAGAACTAGCGTCAGTCACTCAGTCACGATCGTCTATAAATTGGGTTGATCGGAAAGTTCTTGTAGTTTCAGACAATATTTGAGAAAAAAATTTTCAGCAATTATACAATATCAGTCAAGAATGTAAGAACCAATGTCTTCCACTACATGTCTCCACTTTCCATCCAGGGAATGAATTCCGCCTTGGTAGAACGATGCGGGCTGACACTCAAAGAACTGTCGCAAGTAGCATTCGAGGTCTCTCTGGTCGTCGAACTTTTCCTCTTTGAGGCGGTTCTGCAGGGGAATAGGTAGTAGTCAGACGTCAAATAGAGCCAAAAGCATTCACTTTATTCATGTCCTTGCATTCCCTCAGGTGGCATGCTTCTCTCTTAATGGAGGAAGGAAGCTAAAAGTCCCCTTCAAAATCACCATATCATATGAAATTGTTTTTGGTGACATCTGAACGTTTCATTGTACAGCTTTTGTAATTTGGAGCTTTAATCTCTTATTTTTTTCAATTTGTAGATGCAGTGCGACAGAATCCAATCCAAAATTCCAGGATGTGACCAAAAAGGATTTGAATTAAGCCCTTTATTCATTGCTGAAAAATGCCCCTTAAAGACTTCAACAAGCAGAAGCCAAGCACACTAGAAATAAAGTAAGTGATCCAAACTTTGCTACCAGAATTATTCTTCCGCTTTCAGGTGGAAAATGCCCACAGTTTATAGGTTTGATAGACAGGTTTCCCAAAAGTAATATGTGGGGGGGGGGTTAGCTTGTTTCCAGACTTTGAAATTCTGTTCATGGATGATCAGTATTTTGATTATAGCATGTGCTAACAAGGGCAAAATGAGAATGCTTGCCTTTGTACCAGTGAGTAGAGTGGAAAGGAGAGTAATCCTTAATATAAGTGTGTAAAAGGGGAGAATTCATGCCTTGCTCAAAAACATCGAAACTTCCCCCCCCTCTCTTGTCAGATCATTGGTGACAAGCTTCATTACGCTTTGAATAGGATCATCACCATTTAATTGTATCATGAGGTATAATCCTCTGTAATTACTGTGGGAGTGTGCTGCAAAATACTTATAAGGTAATCATCCAACTTCTTCAGCAGAGTGGAGTTTTAATTCTAAAAATTCTACTTCCATTAAAAATGTATAAAAATCGGACAGCCGAGCTTGCCATCTTCATCGACTGATAAGGATGTTATTCTGAAGGCGAACGACGAGGAACACTGACGAGGTCAAATGGTAATCTCAGCAAAGTCAGGGATGGGCTAAACTATCATTAGCTAATTAATAGGCGATCACGTGCTGCAGCTAGGCCAATGGATGCGAATGTAAAGGAGCCGAGTCGGGCCTTCGACACCCGTTGAGGACATACAGTATTTCCCGACCCCTGCAGGATTAGTAACGACATAACGAATTACCATACTCATAGCCCATTCGCCAAGCTCTAAGGAACTGATTTCGATAGTTGAGGTGCCTATAGACTTCTCGCGTCTTGCTGATGCATTCGGTTGCGGATCGTAAGTACTCATACAGACCTTGTAATAGTTAAGATTTCCGAGAAATTAAAGCATCTCAGCATGTGAGTACGTGTATTTCGATTACATCTAGGATTTAACGAGCGTAGAAAATAGCAGGAAGTTCTTGCAGATGAGTAACAAATAATAGGGACTATCCTAGGTCAAAAATTATTCAACCGATTTTGACAATATAGGTACCAAATATCATGGCTTTGTCAAGAAGTTGTTCCTTCTGGTCGTCCCCGGTACTACTAGTACCAGCGTCACTTAGGGGAAATTGTTCCTCATAGGGATACATACTTGTGACTCCATTCAATATTAAATCAGTGGAGTTTAATGTGAACCTCTTTCAGAAAACTTCGATGGAAACGCAATGAAATTAGGGGATTGATTACAGAGGGTTGTTTGCCGCCTATGGTAACGAATTAACGTTCATGGGATGACTTTTATTTTCCCAACCATATGTTTGATCATGTTGTGCATGTTTGATCTGATGCCCCTACATCCTAACATTAGTCTGACATTCATTTTACATTCTAAGAGGCTCATCCTCAGTAAAGCTGGAGGCATCCTCTCCCACTCTTCCTTGCAAGCGTTCCAGGGTCTATTAATCTCCTTCGGCCGGTTTCTTCCAAAGCGTATGGAAGTACCCAGGTGTAATGTACAGACATTGTGCATCGAAACAATTAGCTAATAGGACAGGTAAGCTTTAGAATCCTAGCAGATTCATGTAAAGATATAAGTAGAACTTGGGGCTGTAATGAGTAGCCAGAAATCAAGTACGCATCGAAAAGTAAAGAGCATGAAGTGCGTGATGTGTGAATGCATACGACAGAGAGGAAGTTGTGCTACCCGACTTAAATTATATCCTTGTACCAACCATCCCGTTTTTCTCTGCAACGAAGCCCGACAGTGATTCGATTTAAGCCCCTACTTTTCATATTGATCCCTGAAGGCGCGTGAGCTCACTGACCACTAGCCGCGGCAAGCGAGTTGTACCAGTGACTTCCAACCTACCTATAACGGCCTCCGGCTAAGTCCTTGTGTCCCCTTGACTTTCCGTACTGATTAGTGGACATAAGTTCCTTAGTTACAGTTGGGTCTTATCGACGTCACTCCATCTTATATTCTCTCTATTTTTTATATTCTATATACTCCAGCTCTAGCTCCGGCACCTCGCGAATGATGGATCCATTGTGGGGAATGGGAGAGAGGAGTTGCTTGTGACAGCGAAGAAAGGGTAGTTAGGCGTACACATGAAATGCTGTATCTGGCATCCTACACTTTATAGTCTCATCCCATCTCCGCGCGATTCATCGAGATCATGTCAGGTTAATCGGGCCTTTTCATATAGGCCTATTACGTACCAATGACAGCTACTATTCATTTTAAGGTCGGATGGTCAGGATGCAGCGAAGAAGGTAATTCCAGTGGTATAAGGGCCAGGGGATTGGCAGATCTCTACCTGGGCTGGTACACTCGTACTCTAGACCCGAATGCTGGAACTTCCTTTAGTTAGCGGTCCTTTAACCCTTTGAGGACAGTTTTTTTTTAAAACCATTCGGGAGTATGGACGAGCCTGTACGTTCATAGTCCTCGAAGGGTTAAGAAGAAAACAGACAGTTAGTTAAGTCTCTTGATCTTGGAATGCACAAACCTCATTTAACCTTCCTCACATAACGGTCCTTTAAGTAAAGGGGCTTTTAGAGAGAGGTGTCAGAAGGCACGTCTTGGCATCACTGTGGATTCTACTATAGCGTAATTCTTCGTTTAAAGGCTTACTCTGGCGGGAAATGAGTCAATCCCACGTGGAGTGAACATGGATGGGTGAAGTTGATTTATCGCAAGTGGATTGAGATGGTTGAAGAAAGTGAGGGGTTTTTCATTTTCATAAGTTGTAACTTGCTTCCCGACTGAAAACAAAACCTGGAGAACCAACTCAGTTACAGATCAGCCATTTCACTGACCACCATGACACTGGGATTACCTCCCTTTGCTATTTCGTAGCCATCCAACTTGTTAACAAGCAAAAGCTGTCATTCTTACGTCGATGACCCACATAAAAAGTCAGGGGATGGAATGAGAGTAAAGCTTGTGGAATGCGAGATGCAGCATTCCTCGGGATCGGCCAGTAACCCTGCCTACACTGTCATAAGAAGCCTCTCTCTCCTTTTCTCCCACTATGGATCCGTCAAATGCAAGTGACTGCAGGTGACTGACACCCCGAACCAGACTCCATGCTGCACGTGAGCAATAAGTCAAATTTCCTGGTTCCAGCGGCAACTGCGGACAGTCGAAATGAAAACAGGAAAGAAAAAGTGACAAATCAACCATAATATCTGGCATTTCCCCATTGAGTAATTGGAGGTTTGCGCATTCGAAGATAAAGGAGATCTAAGTTAGGTTGTACATTCGAAAAAGAACTCTTCAGCTTACACCTTGTTTAAGTTAACGGAGTTTTTGTTGAGGAGAGGTTATGCATTCCCAAAGAGCTCTTTAGCTTAACCCTTTCAGACCTGAATTATGGCCACTTTCGGAATAATATACTTTATTGCATTTTCGCTTTACCTCGCCTCATGTTTTTTTCTGTTTAGGGCATGCCTTGTAAATAAAGGTCATTGAACGAAAAAAAGCCTAAATCTTCCAGTTCCCCTCCTGCCCTCACGGATGGAGGATCCATGGTAGACAATAGAAGAGAGCGGCTGCTCGTGCCAATGCAGACAGGGTTGCTGCGCGAACTCGTGAAATGTCCAATCTGGCATCCTTCACTTCGTACTCCTCCCACATCACGCGATGCGAACGCGCGAACCATCGAAGACTGCCGAGTTTTTGTCTGGGACTATTCACGTAGACCTAGGACGCACGAATGACAGTTCTTATTTTAAATAAAATTTGAAGGTTAGGATGTGGCGAAAGGAGAAATTCCTGAAGTATAGCGGCCAGCGGAATGGTATCTGCTTTGAGTGCCACTTGGAGTGACACTCGAATTTTTTTTTGTTTTAAGAGAACGGAGAGAAGAAGAAAGGGAAGTACATGCAATTTATGACTGCCTCCTTTGTATAATTTTCTGTATCCTTCCACTCCGATGCACGGAGTACTCCGTAGGCATATCACCTTTGAGGGTGTTATAATAGCTCTAATCTACTTGCGGGTGATGGGAAATGCCCGACACCTGAAGCATGTACCTGACTGGTGCTTGGACCCGGAAATTAAAATACAGGGACACATCGAAGAAATGCGAAACGCACAGCTCGGCCCTTTAACGATATGAACGTTAGCGTACCGTAACGAGCGAAGCAGAGGGTCAGGACGACGAGGAGCGAAAGTCACTATTCTCATCGGTCTCACTCTCCCTCAATATTTCGATTTGGAGCTCAGGTATTTTTCCATGGTTCTCCAGAAGCGGTGAATATTGGGAGCAGAAAACGAAGGGGTAGAGGTGACGAGATTCAAACACGAATGAGCATCATTCCCGCATTTCCCTGGTAGTCCACAGCTCGCGAATGAATAACGGAAGGGGACCGCGTCATGGTGAACCAGCGAAAGCAGGAAATCACTAGTTATGTTCGTTCCCGATTAAAAGCCGTCCTTGCGTCAGCCCGCCTCTTCCTGTAAATAGTCTCCATGCAAAAATCCTTTCCATTCGTTAGTGCGGACCTGGCACGGTCAGATACAACATAGCGCTTTCGTGAATCAAGGACAGGTTCATTCCGGGTTCTCCGTAAGCGAGCGTTACCCAGTGCGCAGGAATCACGACTGAGGATTCTCTTCACTCGTTCTTTCAAAATGAAAGGAATAAAAACGAATCATGGCCTTCACGTGAATTCTCTCCGGATGCTCTCAACTCCGAATGACGCGAAAATTGCTCGCGCGATTTTCGCCGGTCCATGGAGGAAGCCATGATATCCAGTGCGGTTGAGTTCCGTCGGAAACGATGACGTCATCGGTGGGATATCGCAGCCCGGACAAGTCGTCCTGTTATCCCCTCTGCAGCTACGGACCGCTAAGGGAAACGATCAACCGGGTATGCTAGTGTTTCTAACAAATGATATGTATGGTGCTTACATTGTTGACTGATATTGTATAGTTGCTGAATAAAATTGTTTTCTCAAATATTGTCTGAAACTGCAAGAACTTTCCGGCCAACCCAATACTTACAATCGTGGAGAACGAATTGCACGACCTCTTG